TCCCTCTCTCTCTGCCCCTCCCCCATTCATGCTCTGTCTCTCTCTGTCCCAAAAATAAATAAAAAATAAATAAATAAATAAATAAACATTAAAACATTATTTTAAATAAACAAAGTTAAAAGTTAGTGGCTACTTTACTGGCCAGCACAGATGTGCTAGAATACCAAAATTTATTTGGTGTATGTCCCTGATTCCTCCACAGAACTCCTATAACTCTTGGAATTTCTCCCGTGATACGACAGTCTTTTGTTATTCATAAGCCCCTTCTGATCACAGAAGAGTTTGCTAAGGAGGTGATTTAGGGTGGGGCTCTAGATGTCTCTGAACGGGGCAAGTCTCCAGAAGATTAAATGATGAGAGGGTTGGGACCACTGGTCTCCAGGAAAGAGGGAGGGGCTGAAGAGGCCCAATAAAACTCTTAAAACAGGACTCAGAGAGCTTCCAGGTTAGTGAACATATCAGCTTGTTGGGAGGGTGTGTCAGAGAAGCTTGGAGTACCCCCGCCCCCCACCACCCCCATACCTTGGCCGGGCCTGACTGTATCCTTTATAATAAAACCAGCGAACATAAGAAACAGTGTTTCCCTGAGTCCTGAGAGCTGTTCTAGCAAATGATCAAACTTGAAGAGGGGGTCGTGGGAACCCTTGCTTCACAGCCCACCAATTAGAAGTACAGGTGGCTCAGGACTTACGACTGGCATCTGAAGTAGGGGCAGTCTTGTGAGTCTGAGCCCCTTTAACTTGCGTGATCTGACACACTAACTCCAGGCAGGTAGTGTCAGAATTAAGACACCTGCAGTTGGAATCCAGAGAATTAGCTGGTGTCAGAAAAACATATCGAAACAGATATAGAACATTTCCATCATCACAGATCGTTCTAGCAGGCAACACTATGAGCCAGGGGAAAATCTAGTTTAGATCTGAGTACGAGGAAGGGGTCTTCAGCTCAGTAGGGACAAAAATTCTGAGAACAGAAGGCTGAGAAAAACAACTCAAGTTAGAGTCTCCCTTCCTGAATCAGGACATTAAAATCCGGAGACCAGAATTATCTTATAGCTCAGTCCTTTTGGCATGGGACTTGATGATTTTCTCCTTTTGAGAGCAGGGAAGCTAAAATACAACTGCTGGAATTACGCAGCAAAACCACAGAAAAGCCCAGGATTAGAGACTTCCCGCCTAATTACTTGGCTCCCCGCGCTCTCCCTCTGAGGCTTGTCTCCACCGGCTGTCAGACTAACAGATCCACTTGTAGGCAGGCATCGACAATGAGAGGCATCCCCTGACAGGGCATGGACACAAGTGAGTTGAAACCTGACTGCTGGGAGGTGTCAGGCCTTTCGTCTACACAGAGTCCCCAGGGTGCCACATAAATGCTCAAGTGAGTAGGTATTGCAGTGATGGTGAGTACACTGACAAGATCTGTCTTCAGACCAAAAGAGGGGCATGCCTACAAAGATGGGGATGAGTCCTCTCGTTAAATCCCAGACAACACAAAATGAGCAACTTTATTATCCTCTGCTGACTGTTAGCTTGGAAACTATCGGGGAGCCCTTTCTAATTCCACGATGCCATTCATGGCACAGTAGTCTCCAAGGCTAGATGCACGGCTTTATTATCCAAAGATCAGCGGTTGGACTTTTTATTTTTAAGAAAAATTCTGGGTTAAGAAATTGCACAAAGTAAAAGTCCCTCTTCGGTGTCCATGTCTCCCCTAGCAAACTGAACCCTCCGGGGGTGACCGTTGTCAACAGTTTGTGGGGCTGCTTCCAGGCTTCCTTCTAAACCTATGCAGTAGTTCAAAAACGACATCGGCACGTGGACACATGCTGTAGAATTTCGGCGGGGCGGGGCACACCATGGAAACTGCCGCAGCGTGCGTTTTCATCTTAGCTTGGACATCTTACCATCCCAGGAAAGTGGATGCACCCGTTTCACCAATTCTAAGAGGCATTTCCCTGCCCTCACCTTGGCGTCTCTGAAATCAGAGGGCTTCTTACAACCAGCTCCCGGTCAGGCACTGGTGCCGGGGAGTTGCCATCAACACTTTTCACAGATCCTTTCTGGTAAAATGAAGAAGGCACCAGCATCAAAGTATCAATTTTCTGATCATCTGCATAGTCCACCGCACAGATGTACATCAGGTATCTAAGTCTACACTGCGAACTAAATCCCCTAAGGGGCTGCTGGATCAAAGGGCAAGCACAGTAAAAATGTTAGCGGGAGCGGTGCCTGGGTGGCTCAGTTGGCTGAGCATCTGACTCTTGATTTCGGCTCAGGTCACGATCCCAGGATCCTGGGATGCCACCCACCCCCTGACCCTCCTGGCTCCATACTCAGCATGGAGCCTGCTTAGGATTCTCTCTCTCTCTCTCTCTCTCTCTCTCTCTCTCTTTCGCCCCCTCTCTCTCCCCCCTGCCCCTCCCCCACTCACGCTCTCTTCCTACAATTAAAAAAACCTTGTATATAAAAAACTGTTAATAAGTGTTGCCAAAATCTGTAACAATTTATGTTCCCAACAGTGAGTAAAACTATTGTTGGAAATAGCCATTTCCAAAACTGGGTATTAACAGAGATTTTTTAAAAAAGTTCTTATTTAAATTCCAGTTAGTTAACATACAGTGTAATGCAATCACTTTAAAAAATATTTGGAAAATTTTAGGGGCGCCTGGGTGGCTCAGAAGTGTCTGATTTCGGCTCAGGTCATGATCTCATGGTCCGTGGGTTCGAGCCCTGCATGGGGCTCTGTGCTGACAGCCCAGAGCCTGGAGCCTGCTTCAGATTCTGTGTCTCCCCCTCTCTCTCTCTGCTCCTTCCCCACTGATGCTCTGTCTCTCAAAAATGAATAAACGTCAATAAATAATTTAATTTAATTATTTGGAGAATTTTAGATTCACACGTAGTCAGAAGAGAATACAGAAAAATCCTGGGTACCCTTTACCCAGTTTCCTCCAGTGGCAACATTCTGCAAAACTATAGTACACTATTGCAGCCAGGATTTTGAGCACTGATACTATAGTGTAATAGGAAATATACATTTGGTCTTTATCTCTGGTTCCCGGCACAGAACTCATAAGCTCTTGGAACTTCCTGAGTGATAGGAGCATCTTGTTATATTCATAGGCCCCTTTCAGCATTACCCAAGTTTATGCTATACGGAGACTATTAGTGGGCCCCTAGAAAGCTTCAAGATGGGGACTGATAACCACCAGAACCAATCCTGTGATGAGAGGGCTGCCCTACCCTCTACCTTCCAGGAAGGAGAGAGGGGCTGGAGATGGAGTTAAGCCAATAATTTAATCAATTATGCTTATGTATTGGAGCCTCTACAAAAAACCCTCAACAATAAGGTCTAGAGAGCTTCTGGGTTGGCAAATACATCCACATGCCGAGGGTGATACATCTCAACTCCACCGAAACAGGGGCTCTTGCACTTGGGACCCTTCTGGATCTTACCCTATGTACTTCCTCATTTGGCTATTCATTTGTATCCTTTATTATAAAATTTTTTTTTTTCAACGTTTATTTATTTTTTGGGACAGAGAGAGACAGAGCATGAATGGGGGAGGGGCAGAGAGAGAGGGAGGCACAGAATCGGAAACAGGCTCCAGGCTCTGAGCCATCAGCCCAGAGCCCGACGCGGGGCTCGAACTCACGGACCGCGAGATCGTGACCTGGCTGAAGTCGGACCCTTAACCGACTGCGCCACCCAGGCGCCCCATGTATCCTTTATTATAAACTGTAACAGTAAGTATAACATTTCTGGTGTTCTCTGGGTTGTTCTGGCAAATTACTGAAACTGGGGAGGTGGTGTGGGAACATCCAAATATGTAGCCAAGTCTGACAGAAGTGTGGGTAACCTGGGGACTCAATAATTGTAACTGGCATCTGAAGTGAGGAGAGTCTTATGGGATCGAGCCCTTAAATACTGTTGAGTTTGATGCTACCTCTGGGTAGTCAGTGTCAGAACTGAATTGAAGTGTAGGATACCCAGTTGGCATCAGAGAATCAACCAATCAGATAGCTGAAGAACTGGTTATTAATTACATCCCACATTTTGGAACGGCAATAAAAACAACTAAGGTACTGATGCTTCAGAATGGAGGAATCTTGAAAAAATGTGAAGTGAAAGAAGCCAATCATAAAAGACCACGTGTTGTCTGACTCCACTTATAAGAAATGTCCAGACTAGGCAAACATATAAAGAAAGAAGGTAGACTAGTGGTTGCCTAAGGCTGGGGCAGGTGGGACCGTAATCTGGAGTGACTGCTAACAGGTATAGAGTTTCTTTCTGGCATGACGAAAATGTTCTCAAATTAGATCGTAGCTGCAAAACTGTAAATATTCAAACAACCACTGAACTGTACATTTGGGTGAAATGTATGGCATGTGAATTACATCTCAATAACACCGTAGGAAAGAAAAAAGAATGTTTCACAAAAGGAATTGTAAGGTATGCAACCTTTTGGGATTAGCTTTTCCCCCTCAACATAATTTCCTAGAGACTGATTCAGGTTGCATCACGGATACTTCATTCTTGTTCCTTTTTACTGCCAAGTGGTATTCCATTGCGTGTATATGCCACAGTTTAAGTTAGTTTTTTTTGTTGTTGTTGTTTTTAATGTTTATTTATTTTTGAGCAAGAGAGAGAGTGCTTGTGAGCAGGGGAGGTGCAGAGAGGGAGGAAGAGAGAGAATCCCAGGCAGGCTCCAGGCTGTCAGCACAGAGCCTGATGCAGGGCTGGATCTCATGAACTGTGAGATCATGACCTGAGCTGAAATCAAGAGTTGGACGCTTAACCAACTCAACTGAGCCACCCAGGAGGCCCCTAAGTTAGTTTTAAATCAATCCTGAGAATGAGCATCTTTTAAGACATTTGTTGATTAGTTGCTATTCCTTCTCCTGTGAATTCTTTCCATATTCTTGGCCCCTTGTCCTACTCCTTTTTTTATTAGTCTTTTGCCATGTGTGCTACAAATCCTTTTTCCCAACTTAACTTTGCTTATGATTTTTGAGAGAAAGTTTTTTACTTTTATGTAGTCAAATATCATTCTTTGTTTTTAATTTCTGCTTTTCTATTCTTTATACATGTTTATTTATTTTTGAGAAAGAGGGTGCACACAAGAGTGGGGGGAGGGACAGAGAGAGAAGGGGTCCGAAGCGGGGTCTGTGCTAATAGCAGAGAGCCAGATGTGGGGCCCGAACCCACGAACTGCAAAATCAGACGCTCAACCAACTGAGCCACCCAGGTGCCCAGTCAAATATCATTCTATATTTTCTTCTAATAATATCCTTATAGTTATATTTTTTACATTAAAATCTTCGATAAATCCTTAATTTATTATAGCATGAGGAACCAGCAAGTTGAGTTTTTGGATGTACTAGCACTGTGATATGGCAGAAAGCCAACTAGGCTAGGAAGCAGGAGGTACGGGTTCTAGACCCGGCTGTGCCATTACCTAGCTAAATCACTCTAAGCAGACCACCAGTTTGTGGAACTTGTCCTTCCTACTTAACACAATTATTTTAAGAAACGAGTAAGATTACAGATGTGAAGGGGAGTCTCAAAAAATGTTCAACAAAGACCTATCACTTTTTTTTTTTTTTAATTTTTTTTTTTCAACGTTTATTTATTTTTGGGACAGAGAGAGACAGAGCATGAACGGGGGAGGGGCAGAGAGAGAGGGAGACACAGAATCGGAAACAGGCTCCAGGCTCCGAGCCATCAGCCCAGAGCCCGACGCGGGGCTCGAACTCACGGACCGCGAGATCGTGACCTGGCTGAAGTCGGACGCTTAACCGACTGCGCCACCCAGGCGCCCCAAGACCTATCACTTTAAAAACGTAGAGCATGATATATATACATCTCTCTCTCTCTCTATATATATATCTATACTTCTGTATCTATATATGTATCTATGTAACATATATGCTACATATACTATATATATGTACCTATATATATACTTTCTCCCTCTCTCTCTCTCTATATATATAGATAGATACATAGATAGATAGATATATCAAATTTGTATTGGTTATGGCACTATTCTCATTCCATGTGCCATATATTAGAAAACTCACAATGTTAGCCTCAGAGTGTAAGTAACTTGTCCTACCCCAAATCGTAAGACCAAAGAGGTCAAGTGACTTGCCTAGGGTCACAGGAGAAATTTAGGCAAGAGCTGATTCTGGAAGTGAACCCAAGTAGCTATACCCACCCTCCACCAAGTCAGAGAGCACTTCTGAGTGAAGACCTACGAAAACATGGACTGTCATCACTTGTCTATATTCCTATCTCTACACTAAAGACAAAAAGAAAACTACTGTTTGAAAAATGAGCGTCTGCAATCAGGATGTGGCGGGGGTGACAGAAGAGAGTGGAATGGGAGGTCTGAATTTCAAGTTATAAACTCCCACCTTGCTTCCGACAGCCTGGGATTTTGATAAAGGCTCCATAGTCTGTCACCATAGCAACCTATAGAGACAAAAAAAAAAAAAACACAAAAAAACAAAAAAAAGAATCAATGTCACACAAATGAGAATCTCTCTTCTGTGGCATTTAACCTAGTCTCCCTGAATTTCTACTTGCTACTGACTGCTGCAAAGCTGCCTAAATTTATGTTCTGTCGAATATTCTTTCTGTTCTTTATGAAATTCAGACTGGCAGGTATGTGCGAACACGTTAAGAACACCGGTGAGATGGAAGTGTTGTCAGATGGCATGACAGTATCTAGGGATGCCCAAGTCCCACACCTACTGAAATCCCCAAAGGAGGTATTTCAAGAAAAGGAACAAACAGCAAAAAATCTAGTCACACTTTCCATTAGCTGGGACTGAAGCCTCCAATCCTAACACTTAAATAATTTGGGATGGATTATGGAGGACATCCTTTTTTCCTAAACTTCGAGTCAAACCAGACTATATATAGCCTGCTCGATTTCACTCCAAACCAGCCTTGGGTTTTATCAAGACAACTACAGAAAAAGCCAATATACACACATCTGGCAGAACCTAAAAAGATGTAATCACAGGGAAAAAGAGTTGTCTCCAAGTCTTTTGTGGATAAATCATTATCCCAAACTCTATCTCTACCTCTCATCCATCCTCTAGCCCACCATCCAACCCGTGGACCGGGATTAAAGTTGTCACTACACTCCATATTTATCACCTAATTCATTATTATTTATCAGGTATTCAATACAATCTTATAAACTTCATTTTTTCAGTGACTTCAATTAGTTGTTTCATCTTGGGTACTCTCTATTTCAGCCTCACAGTAACTAAGAGAAGGGGCATGAACAGGACAAACCCTGCAGCCCTGCTCTCTGCTAATCTACACTGAATGCTCACTACATGTAAAAAGCTGTTCAAGGTGCTTCACATAATCCTCGTGATACCCTATGATATTGGTGCTCTTACCATTCTCACTTGATAGATGACAAAACTTATGCATGGACAGACTAAGTGACTCACCCAGTGTTCAAAGCTAGGAGGTGGCACAGCTGGGATTTGAACCCAGTGAGTCTTAACTACATTAGGGCTACTCACGGGTTCCTTTTAATTACACAGTTCTAACACAGAAGCAATGTGACATTTGACATTTCATCTGTTCCTGGGAATGATCTTCAGAAGCGTACACGGTAGGTTTCCATGCTGCAGATGAGGTAGAAGGACACAGGTGTAGGAAGAGAATGGGCTTTGGAGCAAAAGATTGGCTTCCAATCCCAACCCTGTCATTCCTGACTTGTGGGATCTTGAACATGACTTGCCTTTCGGGGCCTAAGTTCCCAAATGTATTCACTTTCCTGCTGCAGATAACAAATGAGCACATAAAGTGCCTCGCAGCTGTATTTGACACCTAATGTACATTCAATAAATTGCAGCTTTTTAATAATTTATAGTTCAAGACACCGATGCACAAAAAGGTTAGCGACTAGTGGAAACAAAACACAAGGCACAGAACCTAAATCCCTTGATGTCTAGTCCAGTCAGGGCCCCTAACTCCACCAAATACCATTACTCACTTCAATGTTAGGATGGAAAAAGACTTCCATTAGCCTCATTTATTTTATTTTATTCTATCCTATCCTATCTTATTTTATTCTATCCTATTTTATTTTATTTGGGAGAGAGAGAAAGATAGCAGGGAAGTGGGGCAGAGGGGGGAAGGAGGGGAGGAAGGGAGAGAGGGAGAGAGGGAGAGAGAGAGAGG